GACCCATTATTTTACAGCAGGAATCCTCAATGTCGGTCCTCGAGGGCTGCTGTCCTACAGGTTTTTTTTATAAGGTTTCCTACTCCAGCACAGCTGATTTTAATTGAAAGCTGCATAGCAGGCTTTTGCTCTACTGCAATCATCAGAATCAGCTGTGCTAAAGCAGGGAAACCTCTAAAGCAGGCATCCCCAAACTCGGTCCTCAAGGCCCGCTGTCCTGCAGGTTTTAGAGGTTTCCTTGCTCCAGCACAGCTGATTTTAATTGAAAGCTGATTAACAGGCTTTTGCTCTACTGCAATCATTATAATCAGCTGTTTTAAAGCAGGGACACCTCTAAAAACTGCAGGACAGCGGCCCTCAAGGACTGAGTTTGGGGATGCCTGTTTTACAGTAAGTAAGTATATTTCTTAACTCAGGTATATATGAATGATAACAACAAAAACCACAATAAAAACACTTTATACAAATAAAACATAATTTTAATGTACAGGTTTAGTTTTTGTACATAAATGTTGCCCTTCTGAGGCTTTTTGAAGGTAAATCTGTGTTTCTTATGGTCCAATATGGCGTCACAAACCTAAAAAAATTATGTACCAGTTTAATAATGAAGAAGCTACTGGTCAGCTTTATATTTTGTTTTTTATATAAAAACTATTTATTTTCTGAGAATGTGTTTATTTAAGAGCAACTATGCAAATTAAACATCTAGATCTAGATCTTATTGTTTTACAAGTAGAGATATAGACCTGTCTAACAGAATAAGGGCATCGACGTAAAAAAACAAATGAAATCAAATATATGAATTGGAACTGCTGTTGCGCTGATGCCATTTTTTGGCCCCGATACCTGGCTGTGCAGTATTGGCCGATACCATCTGTTTGAAATTGATGTGTGTTTATATATGAAGAACAGCATACTACTTGGATGTAAAATAATTGCCATCATGGCTTTGTCAAGCTGCTGCCTACCTTTATGAAGCTGGAAAAAGACTAAAACAAAGTGAATCCAGTAGAACGTTTTATTGCCTACCTGGAATGGGTGACAATAGTTTAAAAAATCAGGGTTTATACAGGAATGAATAACTCAAATGAAATGCTTTTTAATGCTCTTAGAAATAATTTTAATGCCACCAACAGGTACTCGTCGACAGGCTGCAGCCATGTCCCGAATTCCTCGTTTTCCAGCCACTTGTGTTGAAATTTGCTCCCCCCCATTCTCTAGCTTTTTCTCCGACTCAAGCTTCTTTTCTAAACATATAGCTTTGCGATCAACCCGAAGCAGTTCCATGCAAATTTATCGCAATATAATATGTCTGACGAAATTGTTTTTATAAGCATTTTTTTTAGCATTTTAAATACCACAGTAAACACATTTAATGAATTTTAATGCCAATTAAGGCTTTAATTTAAAAAATAATAATTTAATGACTTTTAATGATTTTTAATGACCAGCGGAAACCCTGTGAATAAACTTTTGTCTCTCAAAATGGTATCGGTGACCTATTTGTTGGTACTCGCCGATACCGATATCACCATTTAAGTGCTGGATAGGGATGTATCCTTTACCAACATCATAAAATGATCAAATCTACTGAGTGGAAGTTGCAGAGGGAGTTAGATTATACCCTTTTTCATTGTAGAATTTTGAAGAAAGTTGAATTTGTCGCTCACAGCCACTTATTTATGCAGCTGCATTCATTGGTTTGTGTTTATGTTACGGAAAAAAAAAAAGATTTTAATGCATGTGTTTGAATTTGTTCTGCACCTTTTGGTTTAGATCAACTGGAGCAAAACTGAATGGAAGACATTTTTTCATGTTGAGCTCCCAGAACACAATTGAAGTGAACTTGTAGTCAAGAATTTGAAGAAGTCTAACTTTTTTTGTAATTTTGACAGACATTTATTGTTACAAAACACAAAAGTTACAATGCACAAATACTTTTGCAAAAATAGTTTGTGTAAGAGATTTTTGATGTGCAACTTGTAGAACTCAGTTTGCAAATTTTTACTTAAAATTTGAACATAAGTTAATAAAAACAAACTACTTGTGAATTTTTTTTATTCTACAATTACAAAACTTATAACCTAACTCTCACTGCAACTTCAAATTCACACTTAAATTACGCAAAAAGTTTTTGTTTTCAAATTACTTCCTACAACAGTGGCAACAGAATCTAACAACAACTGAGAAAATGATGCTAAGTTAAGAACAGGAGAGGAATCAGTAGAAAGTGAGGGACCTCGTGGTTGGAGAACCCTAAAGCCGGGCATATGCTGTACGATATTTTCAATCGTTGTACGCAGCTACAGCTCACACTGTACGATGAAACCTCAGGGTTTAAAAGTTCCCAGCTCACAATGTTTGTTCTCACACTGTGTGACCCGACGCTCTGATGCGATCTACCTGCTCACACTGTACGCCTAAAAACCATCTCAGCTCCGCAGTGAGATGGAGCTTATTGGACTCGTCATTTCGGAAGCCAAACAAGTAGAAGAGGAATATGAAGCTCACTAGAGTGAAACACGCTGCCTTGAAAATTTGTGCGATTTTGTGCTGAAAGCCCTAAAAAGAAAAGGCAACGACGTATTTGGACAAAGACATGGCTGAGCAAACGTATTTGTTTTTCTCCCGACCGTATGATTCCTGATGGGGAGCTTGTTGTGAGAGGCTGATCGCCTTGGTGGCGCCGTGGTTAGCGCACACGACCCATGTATGGAGGCCTTAGTCCTCCACGTAGGCTCGACTGATGTCCTTTCCCGCATGTCTCTCCCCCTCTCTCATACCCCATTTCCATCAGCCTACTGTCCATAAAAACAAGCAACTAGTGACGTAAAAAAAAAAAAAAAAAAGAAAAAAAAAGAAATGTAAAATAATAGGTAATATAAAATGTTGAGACTGAAAGAGATTTGATTCTTAAGAAACAGGTGCAATACAGTTTGTCCGAGTGGAGTTTCTATAAATTGACGACATAAGAGGGGGCAGGACCCCGAGCAGATCTGGACCCTACACCAGCTTTAAAGAGAAGCACCAGAGTTTTTACCATTACCTCCATAATCACTGTTAAGGCTGATTTATACTCAGAAAGGGTTAGTGTCTGCATGTGTGTCGCCCTTTCTGCAGACACACTGCTGTACTCACCAAAACTGTAGGTGATCGCAGACAGTGCCGCAGACAGGAGGCCTCTGATTGGTCAAATCTGCCTCCGCTCTACACTATGCGTATGTCCTCTTTGGTACCCTACCGGCTTGTTTTGTTTGTATGACCGCCATTGTGGAAAACAACTGGTGAAGTTATGAAGTTCGGTGAAGCAAGGTGTGCAAGAACGCTGAGATCCTTTTTCTACCGGGATCCCCGCTCTCTTTGGCTCTCATGTCCCTCCGTTGTCACACAAACTTGCCCCCACTTCCTCACCGCCTCGGCCGTATCTAGACCCACAGCTAGTTCCTGATTGTTCCTCTGGCGTTGTGGTGTGGAATAACAAAGCGCAGACCACGCATCAATATTGGGCAGAAATCAAAAATATCTGCAACAAGCTCACTGTGACACACTGCTGCGGGGAGTATAACCAACCCTTTAACTTCCTGGATCTTCTTATAAGGACCTTAAGAGACATTCATATTGATTGTATCTTACTTTAAAAAAACCATGAAATGACAAACATACACTATATTGCCAAAAGTATTTGCTCACCTGCCTTGACTCACATATGAGCTTAAGTGACATCCCGTTCCTAATCCATAGGGTTCAATATGACGTCGGTCCACCCTTTGCAGCTAGAACAGCTTCAACTCTTCTGGGAAGGCTGTCCACAAGGTTTAGGAGTGTGTTTATGGGAATTTTTGACCATTCTTCCAGAAGCGCATTTGTGAGGTCGCACACTGATGTTGGACGAGAAGGCCTGGCTCTCAGTCTCCGCTCTAATTCATCCCAAAGGTGTTCTATCGGGTTGAGGTCAGGACTCTGTGCAGGCCAGTCAAGTTCATCCACACCAGACTCTGTCATCCATGTCTTTATGGACCTTGCTTTGTGCACTGGTGCACAGTCATGTTGGAAGAGGAAGGGGCCAGCTCCAAACTGTTCCCACAAAGTTGGGAGCATGGAATTGTCCAAAATGTCTTGGTATGCTGAAGCATTCAGAGTTCCTTTCACTGGAACTAAGGGGCCAAGCCCAGCTCCTGAAAAACAACCCCACACCATAATCCCCCCTCCACCAAACTTTACACTTGGCACAATGCAGTCAGACAAGTACCGTTCTCCTGGCAACCGCCAAACCCAGACCCGTCCATCAGATTGCCAGATGGAGAAGCGCGATTCGTCACTCCAGAGAACGCGTCTCCACTGCTCTAGAGTCCAGTGGCGGCGTGCTTTACACCACCGCATCCGACGCTTTGCATTGCACTTGGTGATGTATGGCTTGGATGCAGCTGCTCGCCCATGGAAACCCATTCCATGAAGCTCTCTGCGCACTGTTCTATAGCTAATCTGAAGGCCACATGAAGTTTGGAGGTCTGTAGTGATTGACTCTGCAGAAAGTTGGCGACCTCTTCGCACTATGCGCGTCAGCATCCGCTGACCCCGCTCCGTCAGTTTACGTGGCCTACCACTTCGTGGCTGAGTTGCTGTCGTTCCCAAACACTTCCATTTTCTTATAATACAGCTGACAGTTGACTGTGGAATATTTAGGAGCGAGGAAATTTCACGACTGGATTTGTTGCACAGGTGGCATCCTATCACAGTTCCACGCTGGAATTCACTGAGCTCCTGAGAGCGACCCATTCTTTCACAAATGTTTGTAAAAACAGTCTGCATGCCTAGGTGCTTGAATTTATACACCTGTGGCCATGGAAGTGATTGGAACACCTGATTCCAATAATTTGGATGGGTGAGCAAATACTTTTGGCAATATAGTGTATTTACAGATGTAATTATTTAAAGTCGAAATAGAACGACTAGAATTCAATTTCCTTATGAGAAGATATCAAAATATGTTCCAAACTCACCGCTCAACATCCCAGATACGAAGCGGAGAGGCGTCTTCACAGCAAGCCGTTCCTGTTACGAAGGAGCTGGACGTGAGGAAAACACACAGAGAAGGAGAATGGTAGTGAAGAACAGAACCAAACATGTTTGGGTCCAAACTAAACTCCTTACAACCCAAAAAGGAACTGAATTCTGCTTAGGAGTAGTTCGAGAGGCTCCTCAGGGCTCAGACTGTATCTCTGACTCACAAACCCGAATCCAAAGGTTTCCTTTGACAAGAGTTCAACATGAAATAATCAACCAGCTGATATTAAACTTTCCATCAAAGTCTTTAAAACCAGTTTGGTAAGAAATCCATCTGTTTATCATTTAGTCTGCTTCTGTTGCTCTGTCATTGAAATCAAATAACAAACTGACTTTATCATCGGTATGAGAAAATGAATGTTTCTAATAAAAGTGACAATAGAAGATAAATGAACAGAAACAGGGAAAATTGATGTGCGTGGAGGGGGGGGGGGGGGTGGTCTCCATCACACCCACACACACTCAGACTAGTCGCTGACTCTTTTCATTACGCATTGTTTCCCAGCAGAAGAAAAGAGACAAAAACTACAACACTTGTGATCCTTTGATTGGAGAGGCAGTGTGGAATTAGTGGCCTAGGTATGCACGCTGAATGCCCCGCATGCAGAGCAGTCGCAGCGCACTGAAAGGAGAGGGGAGGAGAGCTGTTAGCCAGGGTTGACGGGGTGTGTTTGGCTGCTAGAAGCTATGTAGAGGGTGGGGTGGAGACCAGGGGTGCTGGTGGCAGGGGGGCTACTGTTGTACTGGGACTGAATCTCAGGACTTAGTGCCCTCCCATGGGGATGACAGACAGGAGGGAGGGCCCACTTTTATGCTCAGTAAGGTGGTTACAGACGAATGCTGCTCCCTGAATTCAAATACTGATGATGAATGTGCAGACACATTTTTAGCAAACCCAACAGGAAGGTGCAGGTCAAATAAATACATGAGAATCTGTAGACCTGAAGGTTGGTCTGCTCTAATAATTCAAAGATAACCGATTCAAACGACAAACAGAGCACTGAGGTACCACATAAGGGCTGAGTCCTTCCTTAGTTAGGGCCCTGTCACACATTGCCGATTTAGCCAGCATCTGCCCGACGTCCCAGAATCTCCTAAAACGCTAGCATAGGAATTAAACGCTATTCCTGACATTTTGAATTGCAAAAGCTTCCTGGATGGGAAGCGAAACGCTCAAACTTGGAAACAGTGGATGGTTTTTAATTTTCTGTTTTTGGAATGATTATGACTGAGAATCTTCACCAGCAGCTGGCATACGCTAAGATTTCTATGTATTTTATTTTTATTTTGGGTGTATACATAGAGTACTCATAACCAGTCCAGAACTTATGTCTAACGACAGCCTAACTTATGCATAACGCATGGCAGGTAATTCTAAAGCATCAGTTAAAGCTGCTCCTCTCAGGCCCGGAGGCACCAGGTCTGCATAAAAAGATGTCTTTGATCGCCAATATTAACCTAACTCCTGTTAACTGCCTGCCCAAATAAAAAAGAACAAATATAAAGAAAAAAGTAAAAGAAATAAAGAAGGTTTGCAGTCGCAGCAGATTCAGCAACATGTCTGCTAGGAAGTTTGTTGGTGGTGGGCGTGAACGCATGGAGGATCCATCACCTTCTGGCTCAACCTATGATGGGGATGAAGTCTGGAGGAGAACTGACAGTTTCCTCCTGTGAACCCCCTTTATACCAAAACACTGCCAATACGCCATTATACAGTAGCTGGAAGTTAGAAACACGTTCAGTGGTCGTCTGGAACACGTCAGATATGTTGATATGAGTTGGAGAGAAGTTCTGGATAAGTTACAAAGAAGTTATGCACAAGTTACTCATAGGTTTTGGATAAGCTGGACGCCACGACTTGTGAGTAACATACACTTAACGTATGTCAACGATCAGATAACTCACCCGTAACTTACGGCCCACGAATGAGCATATGCTGAAATACGTGGGGAAATTTCCCGACGTACTTACCGTACGTCGACGTGTTTCAACGTACTTCAGCGTGCTCGTAACTCATACAAAACATACCCATAACTTATCCAACTTATGCCAGTGTTTTTGCCACATTTTCCGTTTGTCAGGAATACACTGGTCTCAATCATCAAGGTGTAGCGGGCTTTAGGCTGGGTGGTGTTGGTTTTGTCCTGAGGTGGTCATACTTTTTGGTTGCTGAAAATCTGAGGACAAATGATCTCCTCACTTGTGAGGATGTGCTCATGGAAGGTTTAGTCAGGTCCATATTGAAGCCTAGCTCCTATTGACTTGTCCTGACTAAGAAAAGCTGAGGGAAGGTGGGCTTCCTTGTGGAAACACCGCATCATGAATTTGTACCTCAATGTGCATTTAAGGAGATTTTTTGCTCTAAAACCCGAAACCGGTTCATCCTTAATGTCGACCTGAAATTGGAGTGGATCATCTCGGCTAATTGGAACATTCTAGTTGGTGGAAATAGTGGAAAGGATCTCAGGGTAGACCGGACAAGACAAGTCTGTAAACATCAGGGTCTCATCAGATCAAATCTTTAAGTGGACAGGGTGCTAGTTAGTTGCTCTAGTCGCAGTGATCAGGGTCCTCAACCAGAAAAAAAGGGGGCTTGCTTCTGCCAGGGTGAATGTCAGTGTCAGCATTCTAGGTGTCTTATAGATGGTTAATAATCAGATAGAGCAGGAACAGGATCCGGGCCTTGTTTGCAGCATTGGCCTGTCCCAGAGAAGATGGAGCCAAAAAACTCTTCATTTAACAGTCCGTCTATGTTTTCACCTTAAACTATGGTCTATTAAAGGTGCTGTAGGAGATCTTGGAAAAACGGTTCCATCGAGCTGTATTTTTTAAAATACACAACCATGCCTCTCCCTTCAGACCACCATGCTGTCTGCAGCGCAGAGCAGCTGAAGCGGCGCTGATCTGGGAGCTGGCAGGGAGACAGGCAGCACTCATGATGCAGAGCGCTCTGATCACTCCTCTGAAACAGTTTATTTTAATGCCTAAATCAACTTAAAATGCCGAAATCTGCTGACAAAAGAAGTTTGCCATTATTATCCTGGTGCCTGCAGTTTGGATTACGTACATGAAAAACCAGCTTGCCATAGGTTTGCTGTGTCTAAAAGTAGCTATTTCAGTTCATTCCATACATACATCTTTCCGTCCGTCCGTCCGTCCGTCCCACCGTCCGTCCGTCCGTCCATCCATCCATCCATCCATCCATCCATCCATCCATCCATCCATCCATCCATCCATCCATCCATCCATCCATCCATCCATCCATCCATCCATCCATCCATCCATGTCAGAAAAATGGATATGCTGCATTTTAAATATAGCATAGCATATTTTTTACTTGTAAACTTTCTGGTAAAGATATATTTTATTGCATGTTGCATATCCCAGTAAATCTGTTTTGCTTTTAAATCTGCAGCTCTCCCTACTTAGATTTATGAACCTCTTTACTTATTTAATGATGCCACAAACTAAATTTCAAGATCGTTAGAAGCTCTGCAGTCTGATTCTCTGTTCAATAAGAAAACATGTTAATTTTAACCTGTAACTGTGACCTAACTCATGGTCCTCTGAGAAGCCAAGATTTTTTTAAATTGTAAAGAAGAACAAATAATATTTTCTCAAGCTTCTTGCATTATAATACTAACTTGTATAAACTTACAATCTGTTGCTGCTTTTAGCTGAAAAAGCTCCGTACGTCTAACGAACAGATTTTTCTGTGGTATGATCTCTAATTATTTTAACCAACCCGTCTCCTAACTTTTACTTAAACATTGAAGTAGCTGCTGGTTAATATTCACTGAGTGCTGCTGTGTGTCTCTCCTTCAACCATGTAGCTACTTTGTACAGCAGTGAAATGTGACGGCTGATGTCTCAAAGCAACAGATCTGATCATGTTACATCGAGAGGCGGGACATGGGAGCAGTGGGAGAGAGGAAGAAAAACACCGACTCAAAACGCTCTGAACACAGTTAGCTGCACCCATCTCTGTTACCTTTGGCTAAAATAAATGAGCGGAAAGGGGAAAAAAAGCGGAATTTATTGGTGGAGACATGTCCCCACCAGGCCAAAGTCAGTGGGATATGTCCACACCAGTCCTGTGGTCCCCAAAGACTCACCACAGATGTTTTCTGGACACACGCTCTGTAACTTAGTGGGGGCCAACAGAACACACATTTCAGGAAGCCCAGTAGAAAAGCCTGGTTCCAGTTGTACCAAACGGGCCAAGCAGAGCCATTATCACGGATGGAGGTGGGATCATCATCATGGCAATGCAAGTAGGGGCGAATTGTGCTCAGGATGTGTGTATTGGGGTAAGGGGTCACCGGGAAGCGGTGGTGTTGGGGGGTGCATCTAAGCACGACTCTGAAGGAATATGTCAAGCCTGTTTGCAAGAGCAGTCCCTTGGCAGGCCCCGTTAATTAGTGTTGGGTAAACTCATTTAAGGCCCAAATGGGTCGGACAGGGCCAAGACCAGTATGTGCCATGGGCGACCTCTGACCCTGCTGACACAGGATACAATAGGGTTACCCTCACACTCACTATTGGCACCCTATTACTCTCCATTACTCACATTACTCACCCCTCAGTGGTTTGCAGCGCTGGCAGAGGACGGCTGGAGGACACCCTCCCTCCCCCGACGCAGTCCCCCCTCTGAAGTGCCAACCGGGCCTGATATTACTGATATCAGTACTGATATTATAGCTGCTAAGGTCAGAGCCTCTATCACCTAATGTGGGGCAGGTGTCCACACACACACACACACACACACCCACACACACACACACACACACACCCACACACACACACACACACACACACACACACACCCACACACACACACACACACACAGTGTAAGACCAAACCAGTGACCCCGCCAACCCCACCTCACATCATTAGCAGCATGCTGGGCCTCTGTTAGCGTTTGGCTAACCTCATCAGCTGCCTGTATTATCTAAGGGCCGGTGTGGTGGGGTAACACAAACTAAGTGGGTCTGTAGCACG